AAACCAAAACAAACTGACTCTCGGCACCGAGCCATTTCTCTGTACATATGAACTGTTACCCCGTTAGGCTGGGATCATACCCAGGGAGTCACAACCCAATTTTCTAACATCTGTCATGAACTAAAATAAAATTTTGTTCCCCAATATTGTTTGCAACTAAAAGTAGCTAACTTTTGTTTGTTTTTCTTAAATTTTACTTTTAATATCTATCTAAATGCCAATGGGAAAAACAAACTATGCCCACAATGAAGAGCGTTTCCAGTCCTTTCTTATCATGGGCATTACATCCCATAAGGCAAAAGCACTTCTGACCATTTCTTTAGACTACATTTCCAGAAAAAAAACTATGGGTCATGAAGGGAAACATGAGGGAAATCTCTGGAGACACACCACCTTTATTTCCATTAAAAATTGTTTTGTTTGTTTTGGGCGTTTATAGACAGGGTTTCTCTGTGTAGCACTGGCTGTCCTGGAACTCACTTTGTAGACAATGCTGGCCTCACACTCAGAATCACCTGCCCCTGCCTCCCACCTTCTGGGATTGAAGGCATGTGCTGCCATGCCCAGAACCAATATAAACTTGCAGCACTGTGTGTGGGCCACTGTATTTCAGTTACAACACTGTGGGAAGCACCACCCAAAGACACTCTTTATAGCCCTTAAGTTCCTAGACCAGCACCCATATTTTTTAAAACTTCAGTCTTGGCAGGGCAGTGGTGGTGCATGCCTTTAATTCTAGCACTTGGGAGTTGGAGGAAGGCAGATCTCTGTGAGTTTGAGGCCAGCCTGGTCTACAAAGCAAGTTCCAGGACAGCCACGACTGTTACACAGAGAAAAATCAAAACAGACAAAAAACAAAAAAACTTCAGTCTTTATTTTCCTTTAATTCTAAATACAGATTAGATGACTGAGTTCTTTCTTTCTCTTTTTTCTTTCTTTTCTTTTGAGACAGGGTTTGTTTGTGTAGCCCTTGCTGCCCTGGAACTCACTCTGTAGACCCAGCCTTTATGCTGGGATTAAAGTAGTGTATCACCACCACTAGGTGAATCTTCCCATTTTCATTTAAACTTTATCCTTTTGCACTAATTAGACTTTCCCTCCAACTGAACAGGCCGACTGTGTTGTTCTGCTCATTTAGAAGCACACGATGCTTTTACCCCCAGCTATGCGGTAACAAGGGCAAACAGGAGTGCATGTAGTCACCAAATTATTCATGAACACATTACTGTACTTTTATATACATTAAAGCTGTTTTAAGTAACATGTACAAATGAAAAGGTAATATTTTTCTCAAGAAAAGTGCCTGATAACACTCAGCACAGAAACTAAATTAGTACAGCTACGGGGAATGATGATTTACTTACCGCTTGTGACACATTATTTATTATAAACACGTAAGTCCAAGCGTTGCAGAAACAAAAGTTCCCTGCACCGTAGACACCTGCCATCTCACAGATCCTTAAAAATGGCAAAACTCAATGTTAGGACTAACCAAGCAACCCATATCTTAATTCTTAATATGTCTCCTTTGGAGACTTATTTATGTATATGAATGTTCTACTGCATGCAGACGTGTGCACAATGTGTGTGCAGTGCCTTTGGAGGCCAGAAAAGGGTGCTGGCCACGCTGGCCCTAGATTTTACTGAACCCGAGTCTTCTGCAGGAGCACAGGGTGCTCTTAACCCTGAACACACACGGAAGGTATGATGGCAGCACTACTTAGATTTCTGAGACCATTTACTTCAGCAGTGCTATGGATCATCTCTTGACTCTGGTCACGGACAGAGGACATTCTTCTAGATGTGTATGATATGATTATTCCTTCTACCTCAAAGAAATGACAAACTCAGCATCATTAAACTAGAGAATCATCACTAACTCCAAAAGACAAGGCCTGATTTTAGAAAGTGTGACGGATAAACATTGACTCCGGCTCACCTTTTCCCTGTAAACTACCTGGCAGATGCATATCTGCAGACCCAGTCCCCCCACCCCCGCCCCGAAAGTAATTTTTAGCACAAGTACTGGGTTATGTGCTCATCCAGTTTCTAAGCAGCAAACAAACAAAGCATAAGCCATAAAGCGCTCCAGCTCGAGGGCAGAATAAAGAGCTGACCTGGTTTATTTCAGTGTGGCTGTCTTTACTTTGTGAGCTGCAGAACTTTGAGGTCTAACAGAGGAATCATATAAATTGACACTTTGGATTTTTTTAAGGGAACGTTTCTGAGGTAGTTTCATATTTTGACATCAACTGGTTTTTGTCTGTGTTTGAGACTCCGTCTATGTAGACCAGGCTGGCCTCAAACTCCCAGGGATCTGCTTCCTCTGCCTCCTCGGTGCAGGGATGAAAGGTGGCACCAGTAAGACTGTGCTCCCAATAAACTTTTTTTTTTT